CCCAAACACACACGTTTTGGATAAGAAACTCGTCATTTTTATTTAAACTCACCTGAAACGTCCCACCAGAAACATCGACAACCGTAAAATAATTTAATTTGATAACCAAAGTATGGCTGACCTTTTGACGATGTTTTTACCCCGTTTTCTCCTGCCAGTTTTTCTGTAGGGAGGTAGGTCGCAAATCGGAAAGGGTCGCTAATTAGGCATCTTACCCTAGGGCATTTCCTTTGTAATCACTTGCCTATCCGAGAAGACAATTATGAAACAGCAACTTGCATATAAGTTCCTGAGAAAACTGATCCTTTTTCCACTCACTGACAGACACATCTTATCACGCGTCGATGAGCTATTAACCCGGCAGTTGCTGGGGTATTTCGCCACCCACCGTTTGCTGGGGGGGGGGGGGGGCGTTAAACGCCCCCAGCCGATAACTCGAGAACCAATAGGCGCAGCGAAACGCACGAGGCGGCAAACGAAAGAACGCGACGAGACGCTTCAGATGAGTACTTTAAAGTTGAATTTTGAGGTCACAGGTCGGGTCAAGGTCAGGTCAAACACCTGAAATCGGGCTTTCAGTAGCATGGATTTCAGGACTTCGCAATGGGCGCCTTTCGTCATAAACTCTGTTAAAACGGTGCATAATCCATCATATAAGGCCTACAAGAGTGTCAGCTCTATGTAGGGGTCAATCAAGCATAGGTCAGGGTCAAGGTCAGGTCAACCGGGTAGGCACATATCCCCGAAAATCAAAACTGATATTCGCAGCCTGTGACACATGTTTTATGGGTAATTTGGGGCGTAGAACATGATGGTCACATTCATTTTATCATATGTGTACGTGTTTGGCTCAAAAACCTCAATTTAAGAAATGCATGTATCATGGTCGTGAAGAAGTCACGAGAAATTGCCAAGATTCAGTTCAAGATTTTGGAAAATGCAGAACGATAATCAATAATCGAAGATAGCCATTTGATTGTCCATGGTATTGGCAGTCTAATGGCGTTTACGGCATGTCTGTATGTCTATTCTGTGATTTTATACGATTTTTTGAACATATGCCGTTTTTGGTCGAAAACTCAGAAATCATGACGTCACTAAAACCTCGATATCTCAAAAATTTTCCGACTGATTTTTTTGAAACTTTGTCACAATAAAGTTCAATCAATTCCCTACAGGTCCCCAAAATTTGGCGCGCCTGCGGCGCGCCGTTTTTATGCTATGGCCCGGCGAAAAAAGTGGGGGCGTTTAACGCCCCCCCCCAGCAACTCGCGGGTTAATGTTTGGGAACCGATTAACCCCTTGTCAGTTCTGTAAAAAGAAAAACGGTCAAGGAACGTGATATCCGCGGATATCACGTCGTTCAGTAAATGGCACAATACGCGTATCGTGCCTTTTTCTGAACATTCATTTGGGCCCTGGTTCCTGGAGATATTGTGTCAAAATTTTTAGATCCTTCATTGGGCTGAGCCGTGTCCGAATAGCTGGCGAATCCATGTGGGGTGGATATGAGGGCATTTGGGGGCTTATGTCATCGCCCTCCCCGCAGCCACAGCGCCGAACTAAATAAAATTTGCCGTTTATTTTAAAAGAGAGAAAATAAATAACTGTTCTTAAACAAAGCTCGATTAAAAGGGAACAGCAATGCATGAGAAATCGAAATCCGATGATTTTTTTAATTTGAAGATGTTATGGCATGCGCCATTCGTAACGTCCGAGACCGCCTTTCTGGATCTGCCTATGCTTCAGGGACAATTTCCCGGGAGCGTGTTTCCGCTTAAAGGCCGTGTTACACTGCCGAATTTTGGCCACGACCCTGTCGCCGAATCACGTCGTGTAGGAAATCGGCGAACAGTTAACCGACAGAGGCGAACAGTTCGCCGACAGAGCCCGCTTTGCAGAAAACGGATGGGGGGCCCCCTAATCGTGCGCGGGTCGAAGCTGATCCATGATTCGGCGAACATCGCGAATGAATGGCGAATCTGTTGCGAATAGTCGGCGATACCTTGGCAACAAGTCGACGCACGCAGCGACATGTCGGCGGCGACTCGGCGACTGTTTGGCGATCATGTTCGGTTATTATAAATTCGGCGAACGGCCACGAAATTTTCATTTTTCATGAAATATTCGTGGCGGTCGCCGGTCGTGACGAACCGTAAAAGTCGCGCGGTGGACACCGACTGGTCTGCGAAATGCCAAGACCGTGGAAGAAAGATCCCGAATCGGTCGGCGACATAGGATGACTTGCATATTCGTGCACATTCGTGTACCAAAATTCGGCAGTGTAACAAGGGCTTAAGGCCGTGTTACACTGCCGAATTTTGGCCACGACCCTGTCGCCGAATCACGTCGTGTAGGAAATCGGCGAACAGTTCACCGACAGAGGCGAACAGTTCGCCGACAGAGCCCGATTTGCAGACAACGGGTGGGGGCCCCCTAATCGTGCGCGGGTCGAAGCTGATCCATGATTCGGCGAACATCGCGAATGAATGGCGAATCTGTTGCGAATAGTCGGCGATACCTTGGCAACAAGTCGGCGCACGTAGGTAGCGACATGTCGGCGGTGACTCGGCGAGTGTTTGGCGATCATGTTCGTTTACGAGTATTATAAGTTCGGCGAACGGCCACGAAATTTTCATTTTTCATGAAATATTCGTGGCGGTCGCGACGAACCGTAAAAGTCGCACGGTGGGCACTATCTGGTCTGCGAAATGCCAAGACCGTGGAAGAAAGATCCCGAATCGGTCCGCGACATAGGATGACTTGCATATTCGTGCACATTCGTGTACCAAAATTCGGCAGTGTAACAAGGGCTTTACCTTCGGCGCTTAACGACTGATTCGCCGCTGATACAGAGTGTCTCCTATACATCTGACACTTTTTAAATGTATCTAGGTACCGAACAACTCAACAAAAAATGTTTTCAAATTGGCAGTTGAAAATGGTTCAGTTGGAAAGAGCATTCAATTCTGTCCAAGGTTTAATCTTCATTTTTGCATTATAAGCAACAGTATTCTTAAAAATGTAAATGTTCCATACCATTACATTGTCATTTTTAGCGAAATTCATCGATTGGCCTCAACAGATTTCACGACAGTTTTCGAATCATTCTAAAGTAGAACTTGAGTAGTAATAGACAAATATATATATTGAGACGGGTTACACAGCACATTGGGTGGACGCGTTTCGTCTAAATGGCTTTTTCGACACCCTCTCGGAAATTAAAACAATACCTACAGTTCAATGGTATTCCCAGGCAAGGCCTCCAAAATAATGCACATTTCATTGGGCTATGGATCCTCCAATTCTGGCCCAAGGCAACGCACGAGCGCTGCCGGCATCTAGTATTACAAAATGCTTGGCCGTCAAAAAGCAATCGAACGAAATGGATACCAACCAAATCGACACAGACCAACCCAATACCCACGGGTCAAAAATAACCCTTCGCGTTGCGGAGCACGCGGGTAACCCTAGTATACCTATACCTACCTAGAGTTCACCTATGCAGTTACTAGTGCTTATGCATCTCGCCGAGCCGATCGACCGGCGCAGCGACGGCCAGCCGAAGGACAGACGAGGCACAGTAGAGGCACGCATTCAAACCAAATTCCACAGAAAATGGAAAAGAGGGAGACTGGACTTGGAGTGTGGAGAATGCCGAGCTTACGAGTGCATACTGCATATCAAAGTCGTTCTCATAGAAAAGTGGCTTAGTATGGAAAACCTTCATTTGTGGCGCCGTGAATTGACAGGCTATGTAGGCCGTGCATGTAGGTGCCTACAACAGAAATTTAATTGTGTTTACTACCTATAAGGGTAACTAGTATTAGTAATTTCAAAGGGAAACGTCCTGAGAACGATACCAGGGAAAGTTTTGTCGGAATATTTAATTCTCGCAATTAAAGGGTTACGTGTTGCTACTTACGATCAACGATTTTATGACGACTTACATAGAAACGATTTGCAAAAACTGCATTTGCTTTCTCAGTCCAATTTCATCAACACATTTAGCTATGCCTATTATATTTCATGTTTGGTTTCGCGCTACAGTGAGGTGAGACACTGAAAAAAATATTTCGGCCTCATCCACTTAACTATCTACTGGTTCATTGGTTTGTACACTGCAGTGTTCCGATGAAGATAAAATGACACTTGTCAATTTCTATTTAGCTCCTACTATACTATATAATTGCCTGTTTTCTTACACTTCATAGACATAAACAAACGTCAAATCGTCCTGCAGAATTTGCAATCCCATTCTTCTCTTGCCCCGGCCCCCTATACTCCACCCGGCCCAAGCGGGTCCGCCCGCGCTCCACGTGGTCCGGCCCGGCGGCTGGTGCTGTCCTCCCCTCATCCGTGCCGCTGAGCTCTGAAGCGCGGGTGCCCTAAAACCATGAATCACACCCACCCGGCCCGAGCGCCAGTAGGCCCGCATGGTCCGGCCCGGGCGGGTCTGGCGGCTGTGGATGGCACCGGCCTCGTCCTTATCGCGATTGTTGGGGAGTGTACCTGGCAAAGCACAGTGGAACGGGCAGCCTCATTGGTCGACCGCTAGCCAATCAAAATCATCGCACTTTTGAACCGCCTAAGGGCCTAATGGCGTCAGGCTCCCTGTAGCACTTAATCGCACTTACGAGCAGTCGCACTTCTGAATCTGTAGCACTCGTGTAGTATTTGCACTAATGAACTGTCGCATATTTGATATACACCCGTTACAACCTATTTGTAACGTGTTCGCCATTTCTGTCAACATTCGACGGCTTTCGTTACTGTTCGGCTGCCGTTTTCTCACCAGCAGGCTGCTAGCTTATTAGTAGAATTCAGGGGGCTTCTGCGCTCCACCAATGAGAGGCCAAGAAACGCCAGTACAAAACTCCCATCGATACGTAGTAAAACAGGCAGCATACTGATGCTGATGCATACGCTAAAAAAGTCGAAGTGATATTTCGATTTCAATTTGTGATGTTGTTTATTGTTTATTTCAATTTAACACCAACGGGCAGATACCCAGTAATAGCATATAGCCTTGTAATAGTTGCAATCTTGTCATTGTCATAAAACTCAAAACGTTCTGTTGCTCTTTTCTGGACTCTTTTGTCTTTCTGATAGCCAGCAGTTGTGGTAGGGGCCTGCAGGCAATACTCCAGATCATGAGGCCATGGATGAGGCCATGGATACCTAATCCATGGCCTAGCATACCTATGCATTGTTAAGTCTACAAATCACTTAAGTTTCAGTCTAAGTTTAATATAGTGAGCTATGGTCGGTGCTCACTTCGAGCATTAAACTGGGCCAGACTGGGGCCCTGTTCAGCTGCTGGCCAGCACTTCACTTGCTGACTTGCTGGCGCTCACATATGTGCTGGTTGCCCCGGCAACAGGGCAACCAGCAATAGTGCACTATTGCACTATTGCACGCCTCTATTGACCAATAAGAGGCGTGGGAAGTGCAACGTCACTGCAATTTTTCATATACCTGTGCCCCCCGGAGCGCGCTTCTCATTGGTCAATAGCTGTTGCCGGGGCAACGAGCACGTATATGTGCACCGGCAAGAGTACTAGCCGGCCGCCGAACAATGCTCCGGTAAAGGCCGCCCCACACTGGACCTCGAATGCGGGTTATGAGTTTTTGGGGTTTCAGGTTTCTTCAAAATTAAAAAATACAATCTAAGCTGAGTGACCCACGCTACCATCTAACAAGCGATTCTGCATGTTTTTGGCTTGAGAGCGACCTTGCATCGCATTCCAAAAGTTGATTTTGAGTCAACTTTTGATTTTCCTCGCTGCGAGGTCTGCGAGTTCTGCGAGGTTTGCAGGTTTTTCGTTGGAGTCAAGTTTTGGTTCCTTGTGCTGGTATTGCGACTATATGTAAGTTTCTGAAGGTGTGCCGGCTTCACTGCATTGATGAAGTTAGCATAAGGGAGCGGTCTAATCACTCTATGAATTAGTGTTATGCCCGCAAACTCAAAACCCGCAAACTTGCAACCCGCATGTGAGTTCCAGTGTGGGGCGGCCTTAACTTACCTATGTAGGTACTGTGGATGTTAACCCGCGCCCCACTGGGGTCTGTGTATAACACGCCCTACTGGGGGGGGGGGGGGGGGGGCTATTCATAGCCCCCCCTCCTAACTCCGAAACTACTGGGCCGATCGCCAAAATTCAAACGGCGTCTGATAGCCCCGGAAAAACTGTCGAGCGAAACCTAATTTCATTGACCTCGAGGTCACCGATGACGTCACAGGTCAGGTCAAAGTAAAAATTATTAGCACTTTGGCTTGTTCACATTTTGGGCTCTGGCCGCCGTCTTACAAGTCAGATCAGGCTCATTTTTGGTTTCTACACTCGTGAACAGATGCTCTAGATACCTTGAGGGTAACAAACTTGTACCTTGATTTTCAGGTCAGGGTCAGGTCATCACAGGTCACGAAAATATTATATCATGCGTCGGTCACGTGACACATGTTTTATGGTCCATTTAGGCCATAGACTTCGAATTTGATGTCGTCTGTGTCATTCGAGGTCATTTTGAGTCGAATTTAGCTTAGGTCAGGTCACTTTCAGGTCAGAAAAGGTCAAATTTTGAAGTTAAAATTTTTCAACAAAAAAGGTGTCTATTGGATGCAGTTTGAGCTCAGGAACACGATGGTGCCATTTATATTGGTGTACGATGTCAAATACGTATTGAAAAATTGATTTGAAAAATTGATAATTGTGAATGTTTTGCAATAATGCGTATAACTTGGCCATTTTTGAAGATATTTAGCTAAAACTTGCTAGAGTTAGTCATAATCATGCGTTCTGTCACATATATTCCGGTTTTTTCGAAAAGTCAAACACTTTTTGAAAAAAATATAAAAATATAAATTTTGAATATTATTATATAAAATTTTCGAAATTTTCAAAATTTTGAAAATCCGAGATAGTAGTTTGATAGCGCGGTCAATTCTGAGTCCTTTCATGCAAAGAAATTGGATCTAGCTTAAAAACTGAGCTCTTGGGAGTGATTGCCGTGGTTCAATGTTTTGCGTCGAAATCGGACGAACATGACGTCACTCTGACGTCATTTCCGGCCGACCTATGGTAGCTACGAAGTTCAAATTTTGACACAAGGTGTCAAATTGATGCAGCCGAAGGTACTGAAAGTTTGGCGTCGATCCGTCAAGCGGTTTGGAAGTTATTGCAGAAAAACGGGAGGGGGGGCTATAAATAGCCCCCCCCCCCAGTGCACGGTAGGCGATCAGGCCGGTCTAGCCTCGCGAAACCTCAAAGACACTTTTTTCCGAAAATTGGAAAACAACGCATACTAGTCGACAGAAAATTCATCAAAGATTACGATTAGTGCATTTGCATGGCTCAGGAGACATTTTTTGTAGACAAAAGTATCGTTAAAGACAGCGTTCCGTAACACTTCATAAGGGGGATAATCACAGCCGATTTTTACGTTCTTTGAATATTTTGCGGAACGATGAAATTGCTAGGTGTTGAGCATCCATTTTGCATGGAAAGTGAAATTTAGATGTTTAGACGATTCCGCCATAGAAAGCAAGCAGACAAAATCAGCTCAAAATGTCTTATAATTAGGTTAACTTTTTATATTTTTTTCAACCACTGAACATTACGTTCACTGAATTAACCAAGCCCAGCAAAAAAAGTTTTACGAGGATGAACTGAAAATAATGCTGTATCGCATGCACTAAGACACTATCTATTAGGGGAGCCAGTGAAAATTTGCAGCCACTTGCAGCCCTGGCATCCAGACACTTTTTTCTTCTAAGGGTTGGCCGTGGCTTGGTGCACTTCAGCACAAGTGGTAAATGCCCCAAAGGGTGTTTTCGCGATAGCTCAAAACACCCAGGCAATAGAGAGCTGCAACTTGGCATACCTGACCTTTGATGCACGCTGGATCTTGTGACACCAACCGCACTTTCAAGTCAGGTCAGGTCACTGACCTATGACGTCATAAATGAACCTTTGCACGATCCTCAGATGTCGCAACCTTGCAACGCTCTCAGTGCCAGAGTAACTTTCACAGGGAGGTGAGACTTGCAGGATTTATTGTCCTTTAGAGGTCTTACAACTTTTATATCTCAGATTTTTCCTAAATGTCACATAAAGTCAGGTTGATCACGTGACCTCACCTATAAGTCAATGGGGAAATATGAAAACTGTTATTTTGGCGCCAGGAATGATATTCAATTGTCTCAAGTACATGGAATCGTTACTTCATACACTCCTTGCAAGATCTGATGCTGCATTTTTGCATTGTTGACCTTGCATGACGTCATTTATGACTTCACTAGGGTCATAGGAGTTTTTCGTCAATAACTCCCGATCAAATTGAGCTAGAGAGTCGACAAGGTCACCAATGGACTCCGAAAGACTTGCCGAATCGAATGATATGCGATATGACCTCCTTCGACCAACTTCGTGATTTGAAGACCTCTGACCTGACCTTGACTCGACACCTTACGGTCAACACCTTACGGTGGCCTCACATGAACAAAAAGTATACCATTCGACGCGCCTGAGCAAGGCGAACACGACGATGTCAAAATCGTGGTTCTGCGGCCATTTTTTGCGAAGTTATTCACCAAAAACCAAACCCGCTGCTTGGGTCACGTTATGAAATGGGGCGTTGCCGGTCGAGATTTACGCTGTTTCATGATATGTATAAATTGGTACGGCATAATCGTTTGAATAAAAAGTTGGTTTGGAAGCAATTTTCTACGGAGGTACACACCATTTAAATGTCCTACCCAGCTCATATCGTCATAAATTTCGATCTACCCTCAAAAGTATTCATGCGTTATTCGAGCGGCAATTAGGCAAATTGCAAGCTCGCCACAGAGCACAAATCCTAAAAGAGATAGTCCTTATTTAAAACATATGCTCATTGCATATTCAAGAAGGTTGCTCCTAAATATTGTGGTTCTAGCTTCAAAAACATGGATGTTATGAATGCCGATAGGTTTCGCGAGGCTACACCGGCCGGATCGCCCACTGTGCAGTGGGGCGCGGGTTAACCCTCGCCGGCCGAGGGGGGTGGGTGCCGCCCCCCCCATAGGGTTTTTTTCGCGATAGCTCCGAACACGCTGGCGATAGAGAGCTGAATCTTGGCATACCTGACCTTTGATTCAAGCCGGATATTCTGACATCAACCGCATTTTTGGGTCAGGTCAGGTCACTGACCTATGACGTCATAAGTGAACCTCTGCACGGTCTTCAGATGTCGCAACTTCGCAACGCCCTCACTGCCAGAGGAGATGTTACAGGGAAATGAAACTTGCAGGATCTAGTATCCATTATGAGTCTCACAACTTGTATATCTCTGATTTTTCCTAAAGGTCATATGAGGTCAGGTCATTTTCGTGACCTCACCATTATAAGTCAATGGGGAAAAATGAAAACTGCTATTCTGGCGCCGGGAACGATCTCCAACTATCTCAAGCACACAGAATCGTGATTTGATGCACTCCTTGCAAGGTTAGATGCGTTACTTTTGCAATGTTGACCTTGTGTGACGTCATTTATGACGTCATCAAGGTCATATTAGTTTTTCGTCAATAGCTCTTGATCAAATTGAGCTAGCGAGTCGGGAAAGCCACCAATGGACTCAGGAAGACCTGCCGAATCGAATGATATGCGACATGACCTCTTTCGACCAACTTCGTGACCTGGAGGTGCTGACCTGACCTTGACCTGAGGTCAACACCCCAAGTTGACCTGACCCGGACAAAAAGTATATCATTCGACGCGCCTGAGCGAGGCGAACACGATGCTGCCAAAATCGGCGCTCTGCGGCCGTTTTTTTGCGAAGTTATTCACCAAAAACTGAACCGTACCTTGGGGCACTTGACCTGACTTCAGAGGTCACCGGTTGACCTAGGACCTTAAAATTGGGTACCAATCTCTGCGTCTCGTAACGGCGCACATGCTCGTTTTTTCCGCGACGCGCTAGCTCCACCAGGGGCGAAACGGCGAGGGGGGTCGTACCCCCCCCCCCTCCCTCGGCCGGCGCGTATGTAGAAAACCAATAGGTCCGGCGAGGGTTAAAGAGAGAGGATAGTGCTGTAGTGGTCCTGAGCTTGCCCAGCCAGTTCTTGAAAGTGTTTGTGTTTTCAGACATTATCTCCTGAGGGCTTAGACAGCTTGTTCCATGCTGAGACTGCTCTGTTTGCAAAGAATTTTGCTCGAGCTTGGGTCCTGGACCTCCTTATCTCAAGTTTGAGCTGGTGACCTCTGGTTGTTCTTCCGTGGTGGATACTGGATAGTGAAAAATTGACCTGGGCATATGTTCACTTTCCCCCTAAAAATCTTAAATTTTTCTATCAAATCTCCTCCTCTGATCCTTTCTTCCATACTTGTCATGTTTAGTACTTTCAAATGTTCTTCATATGATACTCCTTTCAATCCATGGACTAGTTCAGTGGCCCTCCTTTGTATTTTTTTTTTCAAGTGCTTGCATGTCCTTGATCAAATATGGACTAGTGTCTTATACACAGTGCTCAAGATGAGGTCTGAGTCCTGAGATACACTGATAAAAGGGTTTGAAGTTTTTTCACTGCTAGTTGACCAAAGGTCAGCCTCAGTACCTACCGTGAGGGCATACATGGCCTTGTTTGCAGATTTGGAACAGTTCAATGAAAGTTTCAGCATGTTGGTAATGTGCACTCCAAGGTACCTTGCTACAAGTGTTTCCTCAAGCATTTGTGGCATTTATAGCATTTATATGTGACATTCCTGTTAATGGTACGGGGACCCGCAGTTGCTACTGTACACGAACCCCAAGTCTAACCGTCTGTCCTATCCAGTAACAACCGATAACATTGATATCGACTGCTGGTCCCTGTACAAGAGCAGCTGAGGTTTCCTGTGAGTACCCTCTGACAGCTTATAGTTGTTCCCTGTGAGGGTGCTGGGACAATTTACTCAGGGTCGCTGTACAGTAGCAACTGCGGGTCCCTGTACCTAGCATTCGGAGTCCTGTTTCCTGGCTTCCAATACCTGGTTTGTGGCCAAAAGTTTGTTGGTGATAACTACTCCCAGCTCCTAGGTCTTTCTCTTGATCAATTTCTGCAAGCCGGTTACCCTTCATCTTGTATACTTGTCTATTTTTAACTTTACCCATATGAGGTACTTTACACTTATTATAACCCTCGCCGGCACAGGCCATTTTGCGTCCTTCGACGGCACAAGGGGGGGGGGGGGCGTTTGGCCCCTGATCGAGCTAGAGCTTCGCGAAAAAAACAGCGTGTTGCCCGTCACGAGAGGAGGCCGATGATACCCAATTTTAAGGTCCTAGGTCATCGGGTGACCTTCCAGGTCAGGTCAATGACCCGAAAACCGGGAAAATCGGGACCTGTTAGAAAGTCCTAAAGTGTGGCTGCTATGTGGTTTTCCGGGGTGCTGATCACGAATATCGTGTTAGTTTTGATCAGAGATGATGTCTTTAGGCATTTAGACCAGGTCGGGTCAGGTCAGGTCAGGTCAACCGGTAGGGGTTGTGACGGGTATTCGTAATACGTGTCAACCGCCTCTGACAGCTTCGTAACATGTTACGAAGGCACCAGAACTACTTCGTAAATGTTCAAATGGTTGCTAAATTCGAATTCAGCTCCAAAAACTAGCCTAGAAACATGTAAAACTCGAAAAAGTGAACCGAGGTCACCCGTGGTTACCAAAGGTCAGTGACCTGACCTTCAGGTGACCTTGACACCCACCCTAATGTATGGGAGCGACATCAAATTACATGTTTGAACGTTTGAAACCACGAAAAGCTTGCAAACGCGCGGCTAATGCGAGCCGACATACGCCGAATCGCGATTCCGGCCAAACATGGTCTCGGAAAAGAGGTCACAGGTCAAAGGTCATTTGGGTCAGGGTCATGAAATTTTCAGGGTAGGTGTAAAATTGATCAATGCGAGGGTACTGAAAGTTTCGTCGCGATCGGTCGCTTTTTACGCGAGTTATTCGCGAAAAACCTTAGGGGGGGTTGCATCACCCCCCCCCCCCTGTGCCGGCGAGGGTTAAACTCCACCTGCCATTTTCTGACCACTGCACTAACTTGTCTAAGTCTGACTGAAAGATATCTTGATTTTGTGACTGATCAATGACGCTAATGATCTAAATAGAATCTGTAAATTTTAGCAATGTAGGTACTTTTTACAGTGTCATCAATTTTGTTTACATAAATGATGAAGAACAATGATCCAAGAATGGAGCCTTGCGTGACCCCGCTTAGTACATCCTTCCGCTGTGATTTGCTTCCATTTAATACCACTCTCTGCTGTCTGCCATTAAGCCAAGCCGCAATCCAGTCTAATAATACCTTGCCCCTTATGCCATGCAATTTCAGCTGAAGCACTAATCTTTTCTATGGAGCTTTGTCAGATGCTTTACTAAAATCTAGATATGACACATCTAACTGTTTACCCCTCTTCCAACCTAGGGGAATTTTAGTATCGATAAGGGATTTGTTGAAATTATTGGTAATGGAATGGACAGTTTTTTTAGCACATTCACGCACCAGTCCGGCAAAAAATTTGTCAGGGTCCCCAGCTTTGTTTAGTTTTAGTTTCATCAAATAAAGAACTACTTGATCAGGCAGGTCACATTTGTATGTCTAATACTATTTCATAAATTCATTTTTTTTTAACTCCTGAAAGTGTTTACACCATGACGTCAGTAGGCCTATGCCGATTCCTCGTGACGCCACGTAGTATTTATTGCCTTGGTTGTCGGTATACGTTTTTGAGGTGTTAGGAATGTAATGGGCTGTCTGGTGTCTGGAAAGATTTCATGTGCTTTTTTGCATTTTAAAGGTTAATCGATGGGCAATAACAACTGTTTTTTTTTCAGTCCGACCAAGATTGAGGCGCTGATCATTTATTCACTGGCATGGCATTAAAGGCTGAAGCTGAGTTTATTTATGAAGATTTTATTCTACATACAGCGCCAGAAAAGTTTTACGTAGAACCACTTCAAGCTCCAAATGAAGTACTTGTCATCGACAGAGCTTCTAAAGACATCACCCTCCAAAGTAAGTTGTCGTGATCATCAAATGGGAGGGCATATGTCAATTCAAGGTGATAGAAATCCTCACTGGGGCTCCTGGATTTCTACTCCCTGCTGGGTGGTGTTTGAACGCACCTATTCTAACTCTGCTCCTGGGCCACATAGCACACACCACAGGCGGCGTTTGAACTTTAAAAAATAATGAAATTACTTGTTCACTTTTTAGGTCAGATCGAAGTTCAGGTCACCAGAGGTCATCAAGTGTGAAATTTCACCAATTTCCAGGACAAGTTGAACAACTTTTGACAAACTGGTGCATAGTTTATGATCGAATAAAGCTACAGCTCTGCGGAAAAGTGCAATTGATAGTTTTTTTTTAATATTCTTTCTGAGAACTCGTCTACACCGACTGAACGATCGCCTTGAAACTTTCAGGGATTGCTAAGAGTAACAGTATGTACAGTCACCAGCAGTTGCTACCCATCACCCCCGGACAGCGGGGGAGCAAGCTACCACCGCCCCTGCGAGACTAGCGCCGCCATGCGCCAAGAAGTGGAAACACCACGTGACTGAGGCCACGTGAGGGCAGGGTCACGTGATGGAGGGGCGGAGCATAGTAGCTTTTGCACCCGACACTAACTGAAATGCGGCGCTGTGATTGGGCGCCTTAGCATGAATGAAGCCCCGGCGCCAGAATCAGCCGTTCGCCTTATATGGAAAGTGAGCCTTTGCGTTTCACTGTTCTGTATTGGTTTGAGAGCCACGGCACCATACGAATTGTGAGCCCCTTTGAACGGGTCACCGCCCGAGGCACTGAGGCGACGGCCGTGCCGGGCAAAGTCTAGCCTGGTGGGAGAGGTGGGCCAGGGAAAGTGCGATCGAGCAGCCACTGGGACGTGGATTGGTATTATCCAACCGCGACAAACGATGTCAGCAGCCTCTTCTCGTGTCATAGACAGTGTCTATGACACGAAAAGCTAGACAGACAACGTGGGCAGTGCCCAATCAAAAGCTACTAAACGATCCAGTTAAGAAGTTGGCGAGGTAGCCAGAACAAATAAAAAGTTTTTAATTCGATTTTGGTTGACAAATGACATACAAGCCCGCTGTGATGGACCACAAAAGGAGCTGAACAGTTCATGCAACTTCTAAAAAGCTCAACGGTTTAAAAATTCAAAAGTTAAATGTTAAAATTCAGCCTGCATGTTTAAACTCTGGTCCGGCGCTGGCAGGAAGCTTATATTGCCACTTGCAATTCCACTACGTTGTAATATAACCAATAGTTCTGTGAGAGCAGCAACTGAAAGCCCCGTTGAGGGGGGGGAGGGCGGCGCGAGACGGCCCCCTCTCTCCTTTTCAGTCGATATCTCCTAAAGTATAGCAAATGTCGCCACCAAACTTTCAAGACCCCTCCGGGTATCATTTTTACACCTTGTGACCAAATTTTTCCAGAGCTCTTATGAAAGGTTAGTCACAAATGACGTCAGAGGGATGTCATGTTCTGTCATTTTCGACCCAGTAAAAGGCTTAGCGGGAAGAGCTGTCACGCTTACAGTTTTGAAGATAACGAAAAATATTCAAAATCAAAAAGATGTAAAATAAACAGCGCTACCAAACTGCTAACTCTTATTCCCAAACAAAAATTGATTTTGATCATCAAAACTATGCCTAGAAGTAAACACCCCGAAAATACCAACAACTTTAAAAATTAAAACTGAAATATATATTGTATAACTATCTGCTCTAGATATGCCAAACTTAAACTCGTTAGCTCCATTTTTAGCAAAGTTATGGCCAAAAAACTACTCAAAATTTATTACGTAAAATTTTTCAAATTCAATTTTTTGCCGTCACAGAACACACAGAGCAGCATATTTACGTCTGGACAACGAGTTGCGGGGAAAAGTGCTGCTTTTGTTGCAGTTTTAGGAGCCGGTAATTAGGCTGGATTTTGGGGTTACTTTTTCGTTCCGATTCATGTATTTCATAGTGTTTGGCTTTTGAATATTTTAGTTCTTTCAGATAAATATTAATCACCTTACAACTTTTGTAAAAACGTTTCATTTTTTATAAGCCGACATTCAGAGTCCTAAAAATACATCAGCACTACAATCATTGTAAACAAACAAATGGAGCGCACCACTTGGCTCTGTTCCAAGGCGCTTTTTAAGTTTATCTGGTTGTTTCCGTACTCTTGTACGTCGTTTTGTTGGATGTTTTGAATCCTTTAAGATTGACTTATATCATATTTAAAAAGCATGTGATTGAAAACAATCCGAAGTATCCAGGAAGCTGACAGAGGTCCTGACTCCTGAACAATATCAATATCAAGTTGAACTTGAAGTTATGAAATTTTGGTTGATAAACACAAGTTGATCGGGCTCATATATCAGCAAGAAAAAGTAAAATTAAAAGAACTTATTGGCCGAAAACAAGCTATGATATTGCAGATCTTGGAGCAATACTGAAGAGCGCGCTGAGCAGGATCATGCTGATGCCAGAAAATGTTGTCTGATGAGCGCATATTGATGTATTGGATTGGTATGAATATTGAATGATAACTTACAACAGCAAGATAAATTAGTGCTAACTATCAAGTTAAAAATCTAGAATGAATGGACTTTGGCAGCTTTACTATGCTTAGATGCTATGCAGATTGTAATATGTGCATCAGGTACTCAGTGTCTGGCAAATGAAACATGCGGTCATTCCATTGCTACTGGAGGAGAAAGCTTGGATCACTAAATCCACTTTATGTTGATTTTTAAGTTAATCATTACTGTATTTCTTGAAAAAAGGATTGTTATAAAATTGTCAATGTGACAATCCATGCAACGATGTGATCATATAATGTGTTCATAGTCCTTCGTGATATGTGATTGTTGGTCCAATATACAATGGCAAAGCTCTCAGTTTCAGCGTTTCTGCCTGTGGCTGGCCAGCAGTGACTCAGAGCTTAGAAGTATTAGTTTTCTTCACAGGGCTGGGATAAAAAGTACTGAGGGTAATCTTCCACCAAGGAACTCTACTTTGACATGGTATGAGATGTAGGCACAAGTAGGTAGGTGCTTAGTTCCTATAGTCAGCAGTTGTGTAGGTTTAGTCGGGTTAGCTTAGATTAGGATATGTTAGTTTTTTAGGTTGCCAAGTGTCCATAAAAATGTGACCTGAGCAATGAGCATACCTGAATAACCTGACAGCTGACCTAACCTCAATCATCACACATATTTGCAGCCTGGCCAAGACCTGCATAGCAGTAGCAGCCAGTTATAGGTAGGTACTCACCCTAACTCAATCTTACCTGCTAAGTGCTAACCTTCAACTTGCCAATAGTTAGCTCACCTTGCCAAGCTGCATCCAGGGAAACAGTCAACTGAGGAACTGGCTCATTGGGTGGCTGGTGTGAGTCTGTGCATTTAAAGTGTTTCTTCTCTGAAGCTGCTCTGCATGCTGCTGTATGTCATGTTAGATGCTCAGAAAATGTGGGAAATGATTACTAAGCTACTTTAGTGCTTTGTTAATGCTCGAGACATGAACAAGTACAGATCCTGCAACGTACAGCTATGAGTTAGGTGCTAGGTGAGTATGTTATGTGAATGTGCTGTTCCCTGTTTGACCATAGTAAGTATACAAACAAGCACAGGGTCACAGTTATATTCAATCTCCACATAAACATACAACAAAAACGGCCACATAGCCTCACTCCGAACACACCACAAAGAACTTAAGCCTTTGCAAGCACAAAAATGCTTTGATTTACAGGACAGGTACACAATATATCCTCTGTCCTTGGGGATCTTGCTGCCAAGTGGAGGTACGATGACTGAACTTCAGGATTGATCAACCTTTTCTTCTTAGCCACTGCTTATAGAGAAAGACCAAATGCTTATATCGTGTAGTGCTTTTGCAAGGAGCATTGATAATACTATAAATTAACTTTGAAGCGACCTTCTCCTTGATATTATGTCAAAAATTCTTTCATTTTTGACATAATATCAAGGAGAAGGTCGCTTCAAAGTTAATTTATAGACCAAATGCTTGTTTGTAAACTGCCTTGAAAATTTAATGATCTACCTTCAATTCAGACATGAAGGCACAAATAAAATAGTTCCCTCTCCTTTTGGAATACACAAAGCAAAATATTTAAAAACTTCTAGTGGATGGACAAAAGCAATTAGCATAGCTTCCCCTCAAGTCAATTTCTGACACTGATGAATTACACTGACGCTTATTCGCTTCATATTTTGTAACAAACGCGCTAAAACTGCAATATAACAGCACTATATGCTTCTTGACAAAATGCAAAAGTAGTAAAAATTTAGCCCTGATGGCATTAATTCTTGCTGGAAACGTAATCACAAAACATTTTGTAGTAACTATTAAATTCCGGCCGAAAACAGTGCACGGTTTAAAAAAGAATCATTCCAATGACGGTCCATTCTTGCGGTCCTGAAATCGCCACTATTTCCGGCCTCTCCAACGCAACTCGTTGTCCAGACGTAAATATGCCACAGAGCAAGCCAAAGACCACCAAGACCACCATTTCCTGTGATGAGCTGCATCGAATAGATACCCCTTTTATGCAAAATATCAACTTTCAAATTTGACCTTCTTTGACCTGACCTTGACCTGACCTCCACCAGAATGTAATCTAAACTGGCCCCAATGGCCGTCTAGCCCACATCATTGAATTCTAAATGTAAAATTGGCCATAAAACATGTATCACACGACCCTAGCATAGTTTGGTTCACAATAGCCGTTTTCACGACGGTCTATCCGGCGAGTGCACCTGATTTGACCAAATCTGCTCCTAAATCTCTTTTACAGCAAATATCTTCATTTTATGAATTTATTTCAGTGTTTTAATCGATGATGCTCTACGTCCGTGAAGTTAGCGTCGTATTCCGCGACGGATTCAGCGTCGAGTCCGAATTTCAACTAAACCCAACCTATCCGATGCAGTTTGGGACGCTGATTCCGAATATCGTATTCATTTCAAATTTCAAGGTCATCTTCAAGGTCAA